AGTGCCAGTTTGGTGTGGTCATGCTAGATGAAAAAGAAAACCTCCAAAATCTACTCCTTACCAACCAGGTCTAGAGGTGCAACACTCACTGCCGGCAGACGAGCTCAGCACCTGATCCAGCAACAGGAATATTTTTTAAAAGGACACCAAATTCTGCAATAGGGCTGCATTCACAAGGGAACTAGAGACCAATCTCCCCTAAGCTGACTCTTCCAGGACAGGAAATGCTCAGGACCAAGTATGGACATCCTGTGTAGATGACAAGAAAACCACCTCTGGTTGAGTATCCTCCCTAACCTGAAAATCTTGAAATCCAAACCCTTTTAAGCATTAATATGAGACTCAAAAAGTTTTTGATTCCAGAGCGTTTCAGACTAGAGATGCTGAATCAGTATAGTCTATTAGTATAGCCTATAATCTAAAACACTTCTGGTCCCAAGAGTTTCCTATAAAAGATACTCAACATACAATGATTTTACTTGAATAGTTGTATTTCGAACTCACAAATTTCCCTTTGCCACTAAAGAAAACAACCAGCAGAGATCTCTACTAAGGTCCTCATTTCACATATAGTTTCCCCCAAAAAAGGGTAGAAATGGGATTTCAACCTGAGCTACTAAAATATGCACACACATGCTGCCCATATGGCATTCATGGTATCCTCCTAATCCTAATCATGGGCTTTTTAGAATCTTGCAAGTTTGAAAGCCTTTTTTATGATTTTACACTTAACAACCTCAGGAGACAGCCTCCCTTTAGAATATGCAACAACAGGTTTGAACGGCACAGGATTCAGCCTGACAGTTGACTATTCTCAAAACTAAAAAGGGAAAGCCCGGAACATGATGAAATATTACCATTAGATTTCTTACAAAGGCTTAAAAAAATCCAAACGTTACTAATAAAGAACAGGCATTGATCCTAAAATTCAGGAGAGAACTTAGAATGACAATAGTTCTTGTTCCCCAAAAGGTATTATTTGAAAGTACAATGTAACTAAAAACTCACGTTTTCAATGAACTGTGTATTAGAGAGCATGAGGAAGTCATTGAAGACGTTATGAAGGCGACAATCTGTGGCTTTAGTCTCCCGAATCAGTCCGTCCACTTGTTTCTTGATTTCATGGGTCCTAGAGATGGTCTGCTGAGAAAATTCCTGTAGAAACTGTAGTAGCTATTTTCAAAATAAACACAGTAGTATCAGTATTACACAATTAAGTGTGTCAAAACAAAAAGAACCCGCATCCTTTCACCTTCACGTGTTGAGATATAAAAGGCTGAATCCTTACGTTGGCACTGGCAATGCAAAACACTCACTTAACGAGTGGCATGGAGTCCACAGGCACTTACAGGCTACCTCCTTTCTGAGGAATTTTGAAATCCTCTTGGGTTGTCATTTTTATTCATACAGGACTTGGGAATTAAGAGTTCTGGGCTTTATAGACCCTATGTTTGAAGAGTCTCACTCAGGGATCTCTACATACTGGCTCATCTCCCATCCCACTCGGTCCAGGTCCAAACAATCGCCTCAACAGGACCATACATATCTTCAGCTTAGCTGAAGATGGATCTGCCCATCGGGATGGAGTCAGGGCACATCGCTAGTACATCCAAACAGGTTGAGTCCCGGCCACAGACCGAGTACTCTGGGGCAGAGGCCCACGGCCCCTTCCCTTCCCGGTGCCTGGGGACTTCCGTGAGGGCTTCGCGGAGGTGGGGGCCGCGTTCTAGGGGCGGCCTGGAGAAGGGGACGCGGGTGCTCGCACGCCTGCCCTCCCTCCCTTGCATGCCGGGACCGCCTCTCACGCCCGCGTCGGCCGCCAGCGACCAGTTCTGGCTGCTCCTGCGGATCTCCTCCACCGACCAAGGCCGCTCCCACTCGGCCTCGGACGCTGGCGCCCGCTCCAGGTCAGGGGTCGTTTGGTTCATCTGTATCGGGAAGGAAGAGACCATGCTGAGCCCGGGGGAGGACCCTCCAGCTTGGCCCGCCCCAGCTCGTCCCAGCCCGCTGCCCTCACCATCTTGGCACGCTCAACCGCTCCGGAGCCACGACGCCCGCCGTCAAGGACCGCGGAGCCTCAGAAGCCCAGGTCCTGTCGCGGCCCCCACGGGACGGCGATCATGTGATCCCGGTCATGTGATTTACCATCGCGCGCCCACATCCACACGTAACCGGAAGTGCGTCGCACGGACAGGAAGTGTGACAGCGCTCCGAGGGCTCAGAGGAGTTCAGGTTGGTGGCTTCTGCCCTACAGGTGGCAGCGTGTGAGCAGCCTGCGACCGGCGGCTCCCCGTCTTGTCTTCAGGGGTCCAAAGGAACCCGAGGGGAGGCAGCCGGGGCAGTGGACTTGAGGAGGGGCTGGTGGG